TGCTGATTTTTATACTCTTGATTAGTACCCATATATAAGATATTATTTTTGTGGTGAAAACAAATCAAAATGAATCCTATTGCATTTTAAAAACAAAATCTTATTTACTAAGTCAAAAGATAGATGTGTTCGTTTTGCTAAAATATGGTTACTGGTATTTAAAAATAATCTCTTACTCAGTACAGAAGTAGCTGGGATAGAGAGATACTTGCGTGCTAATTGAGCCAAAATAGGCAAGCTACTTTTATTTTTTAACTACTATTCTAGAGAATCATCATTAACCTTAATTTTTTGAAACTTTACATAATGTATTACTTCATTCTCTTCTTCCATGTTTGTTTGTGCAGAATCTGCTTCTAACTCTTAAAAGAAATCATCATCGTTGCTATAACTTCTATCTGTTAAGCTTTCTTCAATATTATCTGGAACTGTGAAACTTATTTTTAACTCCTCATATAGGTTTTTTACTAAATTTTGTATTTTGTTTCGTTCAGTACTTGTTGCCCAATTAAAATATTTGAACCTTGGATCAAGAAATGTGACAGCTAAAGCATTATCTGATGGAACTAACCATAACTCATCTATTTACAAATAAATAGCAGCTCAAACTCTATTAAGCAAGCTGGTAGTAGAAACTAGTAGTAAATCCTCTACTTTGTCTATATCTTCTAAATCTTCATTATTGTATTGTTTTAGCATTTTTCTATTTTGTCCGTGACTACGACCATAACCATGAGCAACTATCCTTTGGGAAATTATCTATATGCATATTGTCATTGTTGACGTGTATCAGCAGCCAGAATATCATTATCACTTGTTTCATCACTCTTATTATTATTATTTTCTGCTTCTCCATAAATAAGATTCAAATAGGTATCTACTATCTCATCTGTCTTTGGTACAAATCCCTTCTTAAGTAGTTCCATATATAGATAAACAAGATTAAGAGTTGGGTATTTAGCACCACATAAACATCAGGTTACTTTTTCAATTAGTTCTAGTAATTTCACCATATCTTGCAAAAATCTGTAATAAAAAAAAAAAATTTAATCCTTGTAAAATGAAGATTGCTGAAAAGAAAGTTAAATATAATTATAATAGAATCTAAAATAATATAGGGTTGAGATTTTAAAAAAAACCCCAATTTAAGGATATAATAATAAGAGGCTTTACTATAGATTCCATACTATTATACAGTGCTACACATAGTGCCACAGGGTTATTATATAAAGAGGGATACCATACAAGGTTTATTATATATAGCACTATTAGTGATATGCTATATACTGTACTATACGTACTGTACTGTATATACTGTACGTACTGTATGCTAAAATTTTGATAGTTATTTTATAAGTTCTGAAGTTAGGCTATAAAATTTACGAGTTTCTAAATATTCCAAAATGATTATGGAATATTCAGAAACTATGATATAAAAAAATTCTAATATATATACTATACATACTGTATGTACTGTATGCTAAAAAAATTTGAGTATTATATAAATAGCATATCACTAAGCACTATATAGTAATTATATAGTAATTAAATAAACAAATTTAAGTAAAATTTTAATTACTCTTTTTCGCTAACTGATAAACATAATCTTTCTAGTTTTTCTCCCTTTTTTTAGAAAGCATAATCTGTTTTGGCAAGTAAAGAAGTTGAGACAAATCACATTGCATTATACAATTCTAAAATGCATTTTCAGGCCAGATAGATAGAGTTCCACCTTGTTTTTATATCTGTTAAAATATCAAGGGGATTTGCAATAGTATTTTGACTATCTTTACTTATATTAAATTTATATTGTGTTTCTCGTAAATGTTGTGCCTATTTAGGAAGTTGAAAAAAAGCTTGTAAGCTTTTAATACAATGATAGATAGATTTATATTGTTTTAATCCTTCCTAGCCTGATAGTTGTAACATGTGAGTAGCATAGAGTTGACATACTATGTAGTTAAAGTAGTTTTCATGTAATAAATTTATTCCTTTAACTATGTTAGCACCATTATCTGTAGCTATAGCAAAAACTATTGTCTTAAGCCACTATTCATGAATTATACGAAGTAATTTTTCACTAATTATTTCTCTAGTATGTGGGTATGCGAGATGATCACAAGAGAGTAATGCCTCCTGAGGTTTAAAATCTGGGGATAACTAAGTTACTGTAATGCCTAAATAGCTATGGCAAGACTTCATTGTCTACAAGTCTGTAGACAAGTGAATAGCTATTATACTACTACTAAGTAAAGATCTTAACTATCTATGGGTCCAATCATATGCTTCAAAAATCAAGCTCTTGGCAGTTTTGTTACATAGTATTCGAAATCTGAACACACAGGTATAAATTAATTCGCGAAAGGATTCATCTTGTAAAATGTAAAGAGGCTCAATAAACTGAATAATGAATTGAATTAATTTTCTTGCTATTAGTTGTTGCATATATGGTGAATATGGTGGTACTGCATGGTTAAAATAATTAGTAACTTTGGTTTAATCATATTTTGGCTAATATGTAAGGTCAATAAATTTTTTTATATTAATAAGTTAATTTAATTCATGGTCAAATTTAAAAAATTTAACTTGCTGAATAGCATAATTTGAATGCTATTTGACAAGTTGAATTTTTTAATTTTAACTAACATTAATAATATCGTACTTTATTATATTTGTTCAAGTAGTCAGTATAATTATCTTT